TGAAATGCCACTGGGAAGCACAATTCCAAACACCACTCGCTATTTTTCCTCCCCTGGGATTTCTCTTTTTTTTTCCCCCCCCCAAGAGCTTTATTTTTTTAACCATTACCATTAGGACTGCCTGTAGATTTCCCATATGTCTCCTACATATGCCCCATATGCTACCTACACATGGAAACCCTCCACTGTCTCCTGTGTGATGCTCTCCTGATTGTTTAGCTAAAAGTGGATATTTTTTACATTGAATTTGAATCTTTTCATTGAAGCCCCCACAGAACTGTTTTCCTACAATGAATCCCTCTCCCAAATCCTTTCTGATCTTCGTTTCCCTTGCCATGATACCCCATAACGTACCCTTGAACAAACGTACCTAATTTCACACCCAGATGAATAAAACTTTGTCATATAAGCTGATTTCATAGAAACAAACAGCTGAAAGTGCTCCACGCAGCTGCTCAGTTGTTTATTACAATTCTTTGGCATTCGTATGCTCCACAACTGATTTATATGTATATAAATATCTATAACCATACACTGTGTACATAAAAAGCAGATATTTACACACACACTGCATGCTCTGATGCAAATATTGAGGGCCAAGCAGCCATCAATCAATGCCTGCCCCTCTGATCAGACACGTCTATTGACTCTGTTATGACTGCACCAGTTTAATCCACCTACTATGTAATTTATTGATTGGGACTTCTTAATGACACACGGCTGACTGAAAAGCAGTACTTAAGTCAAATATCCCCTACATGAAGGAACCCCATTGTTTTATTGTTGACCAAAGCCTATCTAAGTACAGGCTGCTGGTCAGAGAGGCAGCCCTGCCCTCTTTTCAGCTTCTCGTCTGCATCCCTCTCCTCCAGGACAAGAAACCATTTTTATTCCTGGTAGGATTAGCTTTCAGCTCATCCCAGAGTTGCTGGAGTCAACACAAGGGAGGGCCCAGAAAGTGCAGCCAGGGACTACAGAGAGAAAGAAGAAACAGCACTCAGATTTGTCGCTGACCTAAAATGGCACTGAGATTTCAGTCAGCTACAAAAACACTGCCTTGCTCCTTAAAAATATAGGGATCTACTTTATCAAACAATAAATCAATCAGAACGCTGTTCCTACAGTGAGGCTCTGCTACCCATGAACTTCAGTCCTGCTTCCAACACCACTGCTGACAATTTAGGATTCAGGTTAACTGCTGTCTTAATTGTATTAATTTAGCAGTTAGATTCATCCACTGCAAAAAAAAAAAAACACCCAGGTTTGAGGATTCCATAGTCTTGCAAAACTCAAGAATATTCTGGCTTTTTCCAAATAACAGGTATGTTTCTCAAAAAGTACTCTTTGCATCACAACAAGAGCTTCTGTGGACTGAGAGAACAGCAGCACTTTCTTCCTTCAACACTGTAACTCGACTGGAAAGTCCCCCCTTTGCAGAGGGAGGGCTGAAGGGACAGTAGAGCAGCAAGGGGAGATGCTGATCCATTTTCTACACCACAACACCCAGTGCTTTCATTTCCCTGACCAGCAAACCCTGCAGAAAGGAGGAGGAAAAACAAAGGTAGCACCACTTCAGGTCCTACCTCTCGTTCTGCACCAGCACAACTCTTCCAGCTCGTTCCAGCTTTATCCCTGGGATATTTGTTACCACTTTTTCCAGCCCAGTGTGGCTGTGGAAGTATCTTTCCTTGTTAACTATTCTCACACAAACACTGCCTGGAACACAGGAACTAAATAACCTGCACTAACCTTTACCCAGCTCTGTCTGTTGGAGCACTCACACTTTTGCAGGCTTCAAACTGATTTTAAAAAGCATCTCCTCGATACAAGAACTTCATGGGCTTCATTCAGACACCTGCCACTGATCTCCTAAGTGACAGCAGTGAAATGTAGCTATTGTAACACGAGATAATTCACAAATTAAAACATAAACTCTTCTCTGAAAGCAATACTCCTTAATTTTTTGAAGAATATGAGATGAACACAACTCAACATTCTGAGAGAAAACGTGGAAGAAATAATGGCATGTTCTGTCTGGCAGGGTATTGACAAAGCCACAAATTCAACACAACACTGAGAAAAATCCCAAGTAAGAATGGAAGGGGGTGACTGCACTGGCAGCTTTTGGAGAACTCAGATGCACTCAGGACTAGACCAAATGGGGGTAAATATGTGAGTTGATGAATTTTCCTTACACCAAAGCTTCCCTGGATATTGTTATTACAAACTGCTAAGGCAAAGTCTGCAGAAGACTGGTGCAGTTCTAGGCCTCAGCTAATTTAAATTACATTGCCTACATTTCAATCAGAAACAAGGATTAACACCTCCTGCCAGAATGATCATCAGAAACCATAATATTGGGATTTTAATGATTATCCAGCGATTTTTCCAGCTCGAGATAACACAAATGTACTGACGTGTATCACCAAAGGGCCAGGTGACATTTGCAACAGCCAACTGACCCCCAGAGCAGAAGAAGAACCTTTCATAAGGAATGTCTAACACAGATGCACCGCAAACTAAATACAAACCTACTCCAAGTGTGCCACCGCTGTGGTTTGTGTCTGTTATGGAACCCAGACCTAAATAAACTGTTAAACACTTAGAGTAAAGGTATGCCAAACATTTCTCAGAACTTTCTTAAGGTCCCAACAAAGAATCAACCTTTTTTTTTTTGCAAAATGAGGCCTAGGTTAAATATTTTATTTGGCTCCTCAAGATGGACTGAGAAGTTGGGCACCAGCTCCAGATCAGTTCTTGGACTCACATCAAACATTACCCTGTCATTTATCCAGTCAGTCAAAACAATGTTTTCCATCTAAACCTTTAATGTTTATGTCCTGAAAAAGTGCTAATTGAATCCAGTTCTTGAAATCCATTTTTTAATCTATACCATCTAATTTAGAGATAATGAACAGAAAAGATAAGCATTGAAACAATGATTGCAGAATTAATCCTACAAACATTCAAGCCAAAACAGAAGACTGCTGGTTTCACAGAGCCAAAGAAAATTAAGATTAAATAGCATTTGTCAGTTTGAGAATAAACTTTTAAAAACACTGGATATACAGATTCTTCTAATTCCAAACAGTTTCAGAATTCAAGAGCCCTCAAACTGCTTTTCCAATCAAAAAGGGTAATCAAAACCACGCAGAACACTTAAAACTATTCCCAGGCAAGAAGTGACAACATGCCAGCTGAATTAATAAGATTCAGTGTTTTCCTTAAACATGTAAAGCTTCCTTACAACAAATGACCTTATGTGAAACGACTCACAATTACCTACAGCAGAAAACACCTCAAGCTGTTCGGCTCTAGAAACAGGCTGATGTTTCCTATAAAATTCCAATAACAGAACTGGTCCCCAGCGACTCCAGGAGCTGCTGACCCTGGAACAGCCCCTAGAAAGACCATTTTACCTTCACCCTCAGCTCAGGATGACAAAAAAACTCCTTAGGATTGTACCTGCCGGGTCTGGGAACCGACCACAGAGCGAAACTCAGCGTGTAAAACTGAGTTCTGGTATAATCACACCCCCCACAGCACCCTGATATTGTCACAGGCACCATTTCATTACATGTTTAATCCTCAATAAAAATAAAATATGAAACAAATTCGAACCCAAAACACAGAGGTGAGAAAGACAACTCCCCGGACAGCGTTCTCCATGCTCTTAAATAAATAAGGCTACAGACCAGTTTTTAATGTTCCAAAGATAAGCAAGTCTGAGCACTCACTGCCCAGGGAAGAAAAGTATTAAAGCACTGCATCAATACAGCAATAACCTGAGGAGAAGGCTACAAAACACTCTGTAAAAACAAGGCACCACTGTTCATGCAGCAGCTCGTTTGAAGAGTTTTATTTCCCACTGTAATATACAGACACTCACAAATCTCCCTGAAAACTGGATTACAAATCTAGTCCAAGTATTTCCAAAGTAAAGCATAAGCAGACACATTTTACTTTCCCCGTAAAAACAACACACTTGGAAAAATCCGTATGAAAACACCTCTCTTTATTAGGCATTAAACTGGAGATATTTCTCGTGCACCTAAAGTAAATGTATCAACTCTTTTAGTATTTTTAAAAACATTTGCTTTGCAAGCTGGTTAAATGCCCTATACGTAGAGATGAGTATTTACAGTGTTATCTATTCTTTCCTAATTCCTTACCTTCATGTACTGATGCTTCAGAACACAAAATATCCCCTACCTGCTGAGGAACTTCAATACTTTAAAGAAAAGAGCTAGCTCAAAGTGTCCTGTATTTTTAATAACAGAAAGCTCTAGCAAGACTTCCAATATTTTTTTTTTCCTCTAAACCCATTTCCCCGGGTTCTTATGCTGGAAAGGACACAGTTTTAAGCATTTCAAAGCAGGCTGTTTTCCTCCCCAGCACGCAGGTGAACTGTTTTTATGGTATTTTGGAATCTCAGGGGTCAAGTGTGGTCTTGTGGAAGAGGCACCACAGGACCAGGGGACACGCTGAGCTGGAAGGGACCCACCAGGATCACCCCCCCCCAAGTCCTGGTCCTGCCAAGGACACCCCAAACCCCCTCCATGTGCCTTGTCCAAACTCCCCGAGCTCTGGCAGGGCCGGGGCCGTGCCCGCTGCCCTGGGAGCCTCCTCAGTGCCCGGCGAGCTCAGCCCGGCAAATCGGTTAAAAACCCCCCAACACCACAACAACAACAAACAAACAAAGAGCCCAAAACAAAGAGCGTGACAGTTTCTCCCCAGTCCACGCCGCGCACAGGGGGCAGGATGACCCCCGAGTCGGGGTGCGGTGCCCCAAGTTCGCCCAGGCGGCGGCGGGGCCGGGCCCGGCCGGGCGGCGGAGCCCGGACACGCCGAGCCCGGGCCGAGCGAGGGAGCCTCGCCCTGCCCTTCCCTCCCCTTCCCCCCGAGGCCCGGGGGCCGCTCCGGCCCCAGGTTCAACCTCAACGCCACCCGGAGCCGCCGCTGCCGCCCCGGCCCCAGCCCCGGCCCCGGGCCGGCCTCACCTGTCAGCCGCAGCTTGACGGGCCCGTTCCGCCGGGCCCCCGGGTTGGACATGGCCCCGGCCGGGGCTCCCCCGCCGCTGCTCCGCCAAGGGCTCGGGGGAGGCGCGAATGGAGCCGGGCCGGGCGCTCAGGGCAGCGGCGGCCGCCGGAGGAGGAGGAGGAGGAGGATGAGGAGAGGCCCGGATGTGCCCAGCGTCGCCATGAGCGGGGCCGGGGCCGCGGAGGAGGAGCGGAGCCTTCCCCGCTTCCCTCCGCTCCCCTGCGCTTCCCGGCGCTTCCCCGCCCCCGAGCGCGACAAAGCCGGGACGGGGCCGCACGGGCGGGACGGGATCGGCTCGGCTCCCGGCCCTCCCTCCGGCCCCGGGGACGCCCTGCCCGCCCCCCGCCCCGCCTCGGGCCGGCCCGGCGGGACGGACGGGGAACCGCGTCAGGTGGCGGCGGGGCCGGGGCGAGCCTGGGCAGGGATGCGGGCGGGCGGGATCGGGGGGATGGCCGTGGGCTGGGGGTCGGGAAGGGTGGAGGGAATGGCCGTGTCCTGGAGGGGAGCTGGAGGTTGGGAAGGACTTGGGGGGAAAGGCCAAGTCCTGGGGGTCGGGAAGGATGGGGGGGAATGACCGTGAATTGGAGGTTGGGAAGGATGGGGAGAATGGCCATGAATTGGAGGTTGGGAAGGATGGGGAGAATGGCCATGAATTGGAGGTTGGGAAGGATGGGGAGAATGGCTATGTCCTGGGGGAGCTGGGGGTCGGGAAGGGTAGAGGGAATGGCCATGGTGGAGAGGAGGGGGCAGAGAGGAGGATGACAGTGAAGTTGTGTGGGGACTTGGGACAAGGAGAATCAAGGGTACAGACATAGGGGGAGAATTCAAAGCCACAGTCATGCTCAGGGGTGCTGTGATCCAGAGCAGTATTCCACATGGGCAGGGTGTGACAGGCCAGCCCAGGAAACTGTTAAACTTTGGACCAATTTAGTCCTTATCTGCACTGTGTAGAAATCAGCAGCCTGGTTCTGTGAACTGCCGTTCTCAGAATAATAACAAAAAGTACAAAAATGCCTCGGATCCATGTGCCCTAATTTAACTCCCACCCTGCAGGAAAGGTGACCCTTTCCAGAGTTTTCCCAGCACTGCAACACACTTCCCATGAGGGGAGCTCCAGCTGCAGCAGTCATGGACAGCTTTCTGTGGGGTCAGAGGGGCCTCGAGGGTGGGAAAAACTCCTGGAAAAGCTGGGAAGGTTGGCACAGTAGAGGTTCCCTTAGGAATTTGAGCTAACACACCTCACACCTTTCCTTACTAACAACCCCACTAATACCTGTGCTCCTTCAGACGTGTCACTGCTCTGGCACCTTCCTGCTGAGGTCACCTCTAAGGTATCATCACATGGGCAGTCAGAGATTGGGATCCAGCCCGTGGAGCAGGATCCAGAGGTGGGATGAGAAGATGACCTGTGCTTCACACACCTCGTGGTGTGGCTTCCACGCAGCCCAGGAGGTTTCCTGAGTGACACAGAGCTGAGCTGTGACACGTCTGGGGTTATCCCACCCTGACAGAGCTCAGAGCTGGGCCCTGTTCACTCAAACCTGGGGTGAGGAACTGGTTTTTTTCCCACTGAAGGCCTTGGAAGTGGGATGTGGTTCTCAAAGCTTTCCTTGCATACAGTGGGACACCTCCCCACAGTGGGTACATGTGGATTCACATCTCTTTCCTCCAGAAGTGCCTGAAGTGCCAGGTGCTTCCAAGTGGAAGTTTCCAAAGCTTCCTGCTGTGGTGCCAGTGTCTGGGAAGCAAAAGAGTCCTGGGATCAGGACCTGGGATCCCTTCCTCACTCAGGGCTGTGTCTGTTGCCTTTGTCATCACCTGTTTAACACAAAACTAGCACGTGTTGGACACTTCATTTCCTACAAGACACAGGCACAATATATCTACTGCTTTTACGCCTTTATGTTGCACTGAAACAGTTAAAAATTACTTTGTGGTGGTTATGTAAATTCACACACACCTCAAAGACATTCCAGGTGTCCTGATTCCTGTACTGAAAAAAAAAAAAAAAAACAGAGAAGAAAACTCAGCCTTTGTAATTGAAGGTCATACTATTAAATTCCAATCTGTTACAAATTCACATAGCCAGGTCATTATCCTTTTTCTCAAACCAAGTATATAAAGCAAATGGCTGATGGTTTGCAAATATTGCAACATTACCTGGCCACTGCTGAACTGAACAGAAAAACAAAATATAAAGCTACTTTTCACATACTTCACATATTTCTAGGTTATTCTAGATTTTTCCTAACATGTGATGATTATTCGTTTCTGAGGTCTCGTAGTGCTCTCTGGACCCAGCATTCAATAATTCTGATATAATTTGACAGAAGTATTTAATGTTATGTTAAACATAGAACTCTTGCTAATGATCTCATTCTAACGGGTAACGAGTGTGTCAGACATTAATTGCAATGCCAATATTAAAAAAAAAAAAACCTTTTGGATTAAATACAGTATTTCATTGTTCGTAGTTTTATGAACATTTAATGCTTTCATTAAAAGGGGTTTTTAGAGGTCATGAAGCACGCTTAGTTTCATGCTGCTTTTCAGAGAACTATCAGTTTTGCTGAGATTTTGGGACACACTGCTCACCTTGGAGTGCCAACACTGTGATGTATTGCCAGTGTGAGAGCATTCACTGACAGCCCCTGCCTTTGGGTCACTGTACAAAACGTGCTGCCTGCAAGATTGCTGCTACTGCTGGGCTTTATTTTTTAATAGGTAGGATATTTGATTATTTATTTATATATTTTTAAACAGCCAACGTGACCTGAGTGTTTTTGCTGATACACCCAAGATGCTCCATGAGGGAGTCAGTGCAAGATCTGCAGCCAGCAGAGCTCAGGAAGCCTCTCAAAGCACCAGCAACTGCAGCGAACGTGGGGGATCCAAGATACTGACACACCTGATGGCTCAAAGTGCTCCCTTCCCACCAGGAGAATTCCCGAGGAATGTCGTGATCCACAGGTTCTCGTGCCAGTGCTGTCCCCCAGCTTCTCAAAATATTCTCAAATTCTTGTTGCTGACCCTGCTTTAGGTTTCAGAGGCCAAGAGCTTGCGGTGAAATTGGTGTTTAGGCAGCTCCATTGCAGGGGTGAGAGGAGGTTTCATCCTGTGAGAGGGACAAGCAGATACCACCCTGAGCTGCTGACAAGAGCTCCGTGTCCCACTCCAGGCTGATGTCACCGAACAACAAATCCTTCCAGGCTGAGGGAGCCAGCTGGGATGCAGAGGGATGGGAGTGCCTTGCATCACCCCACTGTTGGATGACAGCCTCGCTGCCGGGCTCGGGAGGGAATTCCTGCAGCCTCCCTCAGCCAGGAGGCCACAGCTGAGGCTCCATCCGAAGGATTGGAGCAAACACAGAGAACGGGCAAGTTCAGGCACCTTTAGGACACCAAAACTGTTGAGGAGTCCACAAGGACAAAATAAGATGATGGTTGGTGTCCCATGAGTGAAACTTCTGAAGAAGTGTTTGGAAATACAACAATTTCTTCTGTTCTATGGCTACCCAAAAATCAAGGGGCTTTGATTTCTGAGATTTCCCAAGAGAAGAAAGAGAAGGTTTTGCACTCACAGATGGTTCTCAAAGGATTTGGTGGGTTTGGACACTGGGAAATGTGAATAAACACCTTTAATCAGGGAGTGTTCATTTCCAGAAGAGGAATTTTTTGGAGTAGTTAATTTTTTTGGAGGTGAGGTCCTCCCCATCTTTAGAAGCTGAGGAATATACTGGAAACTCATTGCTCTCAGCATGTGTTCAAAGCAAGTCAACATTTAAGGATTACATTCCATTTCTTTCTGTATAGGGGTTTAATCACAGCACATTCCTCCAGCAGTAACGAGAGCTGGCTGGTGTTATGTCACATTCTTCCCCAGCTTCTGTAATGTTATCAAGAAAGCAAGGCAGTTCTGCCCCTATTATTGAGCTTTTGTGAGCAAATTGAAAGATTAAAACTATTTTCCAGAGGCAGTTTTTAAAAATAAAGATAGTTAAACTATCTGGATTATATTTCATTCTTCTTGTCTTATTAACTTAATTTCCCAGAGCCTGTCGTGGTTGAAATTATATCGGCACCACCCCTAGAGATCATGGAGTTAAAGATTAATTGATCAGAAGGGAATTACACCTCCATTTCCTTTTTCTCTACCATGTCTTTCCATTGTATGTGCAACTGTTAAAGCTAAATGCCTATTTTGCCACCTAATGGTGCAGTTCTGAGAAGTGTTACAGCATAACCCATGAAGATTTATGTATTTAGCAGGTTCAGTTTCATTGTGAAGAGGGATGAACATTTTTACCACCAGAGTTCCCTGCCTCTCTCCTAATTTACCTGACTGACTAACTCCCTTTCCAGGCATTCCTGCTCCATCCACACCTTTGCTTGCAGTGGGCGTTGTTCTCCCATCTGCCCCCCTGGCACAGCTTTTCATTCTAAGCCTTCTCCAAGCCAATCATGACCTCTCACCACAGCTAAAGTACTTCCTAAACTCGTTGCAGATCCATCCCATTTTTGTCCCGTTCCTGGATGGAATCCTGTCCTCTGTGGGGATGCCTTTCCTGCTGCCCTCCCTGTCCAGAGGGATCCAACCCTGCTGCAGTCACGTATGAAGTGCTCCTGCATTTCAGGAAGAAAAGCTGGGAACAGAAAGTTCCCCTTTGTACAAAATTCCTACTTTCCCTTTGCAGATTATGAAAATTGTTGGACTGGAGCTGCTCCGAGGCCAGGAGAGTTAAACCCGCCGTGGAGGACGCACCTCTCGGAGCCCTGGGATGAAGAAACACGTCTAGACAGGGGCTCTGGTCCTCACTGAGGCTCCCTTTGGCATGCACAGGCAATGTTTATGCAAGAGGTCAAGATTCAGTCCATTCCTCAAGCTGGAGATGAAGCTTTTCAGGAGAAGAAACTCGGAAGGAAATCCCCACCCGTGCTCCGGCTCCTGCGACGGGGACAGAGCTCAGAGCAGAGACACCGTGAGAGAGACAGGATGTGTCCTGGGGAAATGATGTGTCTCTGAGGGGAAATGACTGCAGCTGTGGCTACAGAAAAATGCATGAGCTCCCATATCCCAGGATTTTCCAGTGGTTAGTCACTGAGATAACTCCTGAGTCCATCCATCCAGAGCAGATTAGTAACTGATGCACTGATATTCCACGCAGTCCCCTCAGCCATTGTTTCCTCACACCCTGCAGGACAGTGCTATCCCAGTGCAACTTCAGAAGAGGAAAAGGCAGATTTTAGAGACAGGCACTGAACACAAAATGCACAGTCTTTGTGTGTGTTGTCCCAGTGGAACCCAGCTCAGACAAATGAAGTGTTCTTGGGAGGACTCTCAGCCCAAACAAGTGTTTAGGAGAGCTGACAGCACTGGTTTTGGCCAAGCCATATTATTGAGCCACTGAAGGAATATCAGACCTTCTCTAATCTTTCTTATCCCCCGTGGCCCCGCAGCAGTTTGAAATAATGACTTTGTGGGCTGCCAGAGCTGAGCTGCGAGATGTCCTGTGCTGCCTCTCTGAGTTTTAATTGTGGTGGTGATGCAGAGAGCGAGGGGTGCCAGGAGCTGACTCAGACACCTGATCAGCAGTGACACACTGGAATTATCTGCCTCCTCAAACCAGCCCCTTGGCCAGTGAACACCCTGCTTGGGCCACAGACACTGTTTGGGAGAAGTAAAAACTGTTCTATGATGCACCTTCCATCCATTCAGCCATGGAAAGCAGAGATGCTTTCCTGGCTCCCCAAAAACCCCAGAGCATTCTCTGCTAAGCCTGAAGACTTTGGCACAATTAGCTGGTTCTCATTGGCCATCCTTACTTATCTAAATATTCAGGGATTAACCTTTCCAGCTTTCCAGAATTCCACATGTCAGGGGTTATGATGAGGTTTAAGAGGACTAAATTATCTCATTCCAATCTGTTGCAGGGACTGTGGCTGTCAGAGATAAATACAGATCCAGATAAGCAGCAGACTGCTCTGGCCATAGAATGTTTGCAGAGAAAGCCTCTTGGGGCAGTACAAGCCACTTAAAACAACCCTCACCTGATGGTTCTGATTTTTCCCTGTTTCTTCAAGCAAGTGGAAGCTTTTCCATGTGTCTCATACAAGTGACTTCCAAAGGTTTCCATCCAAGAGGCAAGATTAATTCCAGGAAACTTATCAAACTGTGGCAATATTGTTTGCTTCTCCAGGTGGGTGAATCTGCAAGGTTCAAAGATGAAAATAGCTCCCAAAGCCTGACCCCCGCCTGGGGAGGGTTATTTTCTGCCAGGGGGAAGGAGCCACTCAGAGCCAGCTGAGCTGTCCCAGACTGTGCAAACCTCACCTCCCCACAGCTCTGGGAGCTGCTGAAAGGAGCCCAGGCTGTCCAGCTTTGGAAACACTGCTGTGTCTTCCCTGAATTCTGGAGACATCTGTAAACATGCTGCATGGAAACCAAATCCATAAATAAGCTCAATCGTGACACAAAAGCCTTTGGAGGTTCAACAAACACAGCAATCTCTCTTTTTTAAAAAAACAAAACTAATTCCTAATACTTTCTGAAGCGCAGAAATACTTCACCTGTCCCCAGGCTCTACTGGCTTCCTTTGTGCTTTCTTTTAACAATCACCAACCAGTCCACTGTGAAATCAATGTGGGAGGATTAAAGATAAAGTTTTTCTCTGAAAATAGCCCTGAAGTATTTCATTCTAGAAATTACAAAGCAAGGCTTCATGCCAGATAAGAACAGCACAGGTATTTAAGTAGGTTAGTGGGTCTAGTGAAGTGCTAAAAGTAACCTAAAGCAAAATCTGTCACCATGTGTCTTGAATCAGCCTTTTATTCTCCACTTGAAACCCTTTAAAATAGAACTGCAGGAAAGGTGAATTTCTCCTTTTCTTTTTAGCAGTAGAATTCAGGGGCAACATGTCCAATTAGGCATTGTGTCTAATGAAAGGTGTGACATAATCAGATATAATCAGCCTGCAAGCAGACACATCCAGCCCCTCTGTGCATGTGCAACTCATTCACTGACTGCTAAATTTAGGGTTTCTCTGAGTAAATGTCACCTCTCATTTGTTCTGCAAAGCTCATTGCACACTCTGGCTGCTACAAATTTAACAAACATTTGGATTATGTTGCTAGAAAGACATTAGGTTCCAATTTGGGTCTAATACACAGTGGGCTGGCTATGAGGAAGTAAACTTTCCATGCAGTTAAAATGGGTTTTCTTGTTGTGTTTTATTTTTTTCTTTTTTTTCCCCCTGTCATGTTTGTTCCTGGGGTATTTTTTCTGTTTGTAGCTACGGCACCCTGAACTCTGCTGACAGCTGCAAATCCACTATGCAATCCAGCAGCTCAGGTTTGTGTTCTGCACCTCTGTGGGGTATCTGCAGATGCTCTTGGTTGTACCAAACAGAAAAGGTTTTAAAGGTAGTCTGGACAAAAGCTGGATGCAGGAATGGGCTAATCTGATTTTCCTTAAGTAATTCCTAGAATAATTTGCAATTAAAATTGGGGTTTTTTTAGAAATTATTAGATCCCCATTGTCAGGTTTCCTCAACCCCCTTTGTTTTTCCTTTCTGACTTCATTTACATCTTGTGAAGTTGTTGCCATTCCCCCTCTCCTTCTGTTTTCCTTCCCTCATCCCTGTCTGGCCCCAGCCTGCAGGTGTTGATTTACTCTCAGGTACAGAGGGGTAACAGCTTCAGTTTTAGCAACTACATAAACCAATATTTCTACAAGGCAGAAAAATTCCTGCTCAGCTCAAATCCAACTTTCCAGAGCAGTTCTTTGGAAGTGGAAGGTGGATGTCCTGTCTGCCCCATCCCCCTGTCCCCATTTCCCTGCCCTGGGAATGTTCTCTCTATTCTGAGTTCTATGAACTGCAGCAATGGGGTTTGGGTTTTTTTTTTTTTTTTTTTTTAGCCATTAGGGGAAAGGAAATGACATATGGAGAGAATTCAAGTCCCTCCTCATTCCTAGAGAGTCTGTCCAGAACGTTGGAGTGCTGAGCTCCATCCAAGTGTCTTTTCCTGCTCACAATGGGGAAGGGGAGCTGGGGGTGGGAGGGGAGACGGATACGTCACATTAAATTGCTGCTTCTGATTAACAGCACATTCTGCAAATGATTTCACAGTGTTGCTTTGAACACAGCTGAGCCTCTGCAGCCCAAATATGTGTAGCAACCCACTGATGAAAGCGCTATTTTTACATCTGGATCACAGAGTGGGTAAAAATGAAGTGGTTGGGACGGTGGAAATGGGCTTTGGAGATTTCTCAAGATTTTCTGATAACTTTTTACCTCCAGTCTTCCACAAGCCCACAGAGCACTGTCACACACTCCTGTGGCACAGCTGTTTCACCACTGTCAACCTGCACACAGAGCAATCTGGTACAGAGAACAAATCAGGCAGCTTTCCACTACTTTAGATCTATTTATGTATATGACCCCATGACCTATAAATACATAAGAAGATATAAATCCCAGCTTTAAAAGATGACCCCATGATTTCTATTTCACATTGCAATGCAAATTGAGAAGGATATGAAGGAGAACAACTCCTCACTGCACTGCACCTCTTTTGCTGAGCTCACAGGTTGATCCAACCTCCTCCCCAGCGAAACCAGTGATTTTGCTTTCATTGAGTCAGTCACTTGAAACTCCCTCCCTGCTCCATGATTTACACATCAGTGCTGGAGCTGGCCCATTGTTTTATTTAGGTGATCAGCACAACATTTTAATGTCGTCCAGCAAGTCGTGCTTAGTAAGGACGGGCAGGATTTTTCTCCATCCCGCTGTCATTTTTCTCTGCTCTCCTCGTGCTTTTAAATCCCAGCTCCACTTCCCTCCCACTGATGACACTCCCCAGGGCAGTGGGTGAACTGCAACCTGGAAAGTGGCCACGGCTCTTCCACGAAATCCTCTGGCTTCTGCGGAAGAGCCTCCATTTCCTGGAGCCAGCCCGAGCCAGGCAGTGCTGTGCAGTCAGGAACAGCCCTGCAATCCACGACCCCTGATCCACAGGAGGGGCTGGAAACTCCCAGCAATCAATCCCCTCTTCCCCGTGTCCACAGAGGGGGTTCTGCCTGACTCCTGGCAGTGCCATTCCCTGGATCAGTGAGGTTTTCCAAACACACAACGAACAACTTTGCGTACCTGGAGCTGAAATTCTGAAGGTTTCTGAAAGTTCCAATTGCCTTGGGTACAACCCCTGCCAGCCTGAGGGGTCCCCTAAGTCCCTGTTAGGCTTTTCTCCTGTTCCTCTGAAGGCCAAAGGGTTAATGTGTTCCCTATCAGGTTCTAAGTGAAAGTCCCAACATTTCCCTTATAGGTCAAATATCAGCAGACACAATTAACCTGCATTAATTACTCCTGTTTTGACTAGCAGTGTTCCATTCCCAAATTGCACACTCTCCCAAAATCTCTGTTGTACCTTATCACAGAAGAGCTCCAGTGCTCCTGGGATAATCCCATGCTCAGGAAAAGGAGGACTGTGGGCAGAGGTGCTGTGGGTTAGCAGAGGAATGGACAGCAGGATTCCCAGGCTCCAGGTGAATTCTGCCAGCTACTTTCTGAGTGCCTGTGGATAGTTATGTCTCAGTTTGCTCTGCTGTAAAATAGATTTAGGAACAGAAGAGAGCTGTGAAATGTTGTTGGTAGTGAATTCCTCCTCCTGCAAACTTCCAGCTGTTCCTTTTTGCTGGTACTCCTGTAGCTCTGTGCAATTTAAATCATTCTGGAGAGAATAGCAGGAAGCAGCTTTGCTGGAGAGAATATTTCAGTCTAATTTCTACTAATTTAACCATTTCTGGCTTTTCCACAGTTTAAACTGTTCTTCCTGCAGGGGAAGAACACCCTTGCTACTGAACCCCAGGACTGCAAAGCCTCTGCCATCCTTCCAAAGCCTGGCACCTTTGGGAACAGCAGGTGGAATAGTCAGCCAGGAGCATCTGCTGGCATGACCGTGGAGATCTCAGGCTGAAATCTTGCCATCCCTCCACAGATAAAACAGCACCAGCAACAACTGCATTCCAAGGCAGTTGATGTCAGCAGGGGGCTGGTTTTGTTGCTCTCAGCACAGAGGAGTTGGCAGATGGACACACAGGCCACCAGACATTTATTCCAGCCCTTATCCTGAATCAGGCATTTGACAAATTAAGAGGACAAGCTCTTAAACCTGACCAAAAAACCCCAAACCCCACAAACCAAGAACCAGGAGCAATAATAATAATAATAATTCTCCTCTCCCTTTTTGCTCCTACCCCTTCTTTTAAAGCTGGAGGTGCAGCCTCATGGGTGACTGTGATCCCAAACTCAGAAATAGTTTGCATTTTCTTAGAATAAGGAGTGACTCACCCCAGTCACTTACTCATAATCACTGTAGATTGTTGCTTGTGGAAATAGGTGCTGCCAACAGGGCTCGTTGGTGGACAGGCTGAACACATTTTCCTTGGATAAAAACAGTGTCTCAGTCCCCAGAAAGTTAATTATTAAGCCACTGAGCTGTCAGGCATCTGGAGAGGAATTTGCAGTGTTCTATTCTTAACTCAATATATTAGATAAATCTGAAACAATTAATTCAGGGGAGAAAAAAATAAGAGATAACACTATTGAACAAGTGTTCTGTGTTCTCAGATAGACATACACAGAGACAGAAAAGCCACAGTAACTGCATATATGTTAAAGAGCAATTAAATCGAGGATTTGGGTTTTAAATAACAGAACTCTGATTTTAAAAGGGCTTTCGAAAAGGTTGTATCTTATATTTAATATTTAATCTGGTTAAATATTTGGAATTTAACACAGAGAGGCTTTACGTGACTACAAAGGTTTTATCTCAGTGTTTTTAACAGGAAAAGGGAGCGGATCCCACCTGGGTATTCCAGGCGGGATTATCCCACCTCATCCAATGGTAAGAGGGACTGGGAGGCGCCGGCACCGCCCTCTGCCGGCACGGGCCGTGCTTTGCAGCCCCCAAAATTCGGAATTCCGAGTTCTGGAGTTGTTTCATTGCCCGTATAAACCCACGGACACGGAGCGCGGGGAGGGAACAATTCACCGGTTAAAGCTGACTTGGCACGGTTTGTTTTCTATGGGTTAATTGTTTCGGTTCCCTACAGTTACACAGAAAATCATCATTTTACAGCTGATGGGATTAGGTCAGGGCTGGAAATTTCACAAAGCCAAGAACAGAGGAGGCTTCACTGCAGGTGTGTAAATGCCTTGTTTGATTTCCTCGGAGTTTTTCTCCCAGAACATCAAAGGTCTGAGCAGTGCAGGGAAGGTGGATCTTTCCCCTTGGTGTAAATACCAAACTCTTAGCACCAAAGATGCTGCAGTATCTGCGGTGTCAGACTGTTCTCCTGGGGTTGGCACTGCCCAGCTGCTTCCAGAGGTGCCAGGTGCCACCTGCAGCTCATCCCTCAGCATAGGGGCCAGGCAGGGCTGGGAGCTCAAAAGCTGGCAAATGCACGAGCCAAAACCAGATCCTTTCGTCAGGTTGATTTAGGAGAATAGAAGGGGTTTTTTTGGTTTGCATTTGGGGTTTTTATTCCCCTCCTGCATCAAGGCAGAAGCGAAGCCAATGGGAATTCTGGGAAAATTGCCTGCATGTTACATTTCCTCCCCTACCTTTTATTAATAAAATTCCATGCTATGGTCCAATGAAGTCGTGCCTATAAAACATCTACCCCTGAACTCTGACCTCTCCTGCACCATCCCTGGAGCCAGAGAAGCTCAGAGAGCTGAGGCAAAAGTTATTCCAACACATATGACTCCTGGGAGGTTCCAGTTAAATACCTCAATCCAAGATTTTCCAAAGAACTGGAAAACAGAACCACAGTTCTTCCTGTAGAGGAATTCCAAGAAGAGCCCTTCATTTTTCCTCTCTAGAGCAGGAAACAGCTTCAAAGCCCTCCCTAAGCTCTACCCTGAACATCTGCACAACTGCTTAACTGCTGTACTTACCCCTCCTCCACACTGTTACCTGCACTTAAGCAGCAATTCTAGTCCTTAAATATTCCTCCAAAAGGCAGAAGCCAGTTTAGCTCAGTTATGAACAGGACAAGATGAATCAGGTTTCTACAGGAAACCTTTGGAGAGATGCAGCAATTCCTTGGTCCTGCAGCAACAGAAGGCAGCTGAATGCAGAAGTCAGAGCTTGGGGTGACCCAGCTGTTCTAAACCCACCATCTTCAGCACTGAACCTCTCCCAGTTTAGACTTACATTGGTGCCATTATCTACTTTTGACTGGTTTTACTTACCCCATCACAATCAGCCTTTAAAGGAGCAAGTGACACAGCTGAATTAGATGTACTGATAACACTTTATTGAACTTCAAGTAAATCCTTTTTTAAAAGCCTGTTGTGTGTTGCACAGCAACAGGTCAGGTAGAAGGTTGGGGGCCTGCAGAGTGGTGGCTCATGCTCTGGGACAGGCCTGCATTGCTCACTTTGCATTCTCACCCCTGACAAGGACAGAAAGAGGAAGTATTTACAAGCAGACCTCAGAGAAGGACGATTACAGTTAGGAATTCACAGATGTAGAGAGTTCGAACTGTTCAAGTATGTTTCTGTTGGATAAAGTGCTACAGGACACAGAAAAGGCAGTAAAGACAAGAGGAATTATTAAGACAAAGAGGTGGCAGTCATTTATGTGCTAAACCACCTGTAGATGGCTGCAGTATCTGCAAGAGCTAGAAGTTGAAAGAATTGGGGGTGTTGCCCTGGATTTGGAAAGTGTAGCTGTCAGCAGTAGAATCTGGTACAACATTTTGGTCTTCCTCCTCCTAGAAGGAAAAGAAGAGAGTGTTGAAACAGCAGTAGCATTTTAACCTAGTAGTCAGTGCTAGAACAGAAAACGAAAGTGGAAATAAAACCCTGCCACTTACTTCTGCTGAGAAATATTTCTCAATGATGGTGGATGAGGCTCTGTACACTTGTTCATTTTCATGTGACTGGAGAGCTTCAATTTTGTCTAGACCCCCACACTCCTCAATCATGAGGCAAAGCTTTTCAGTCTCATTAATCTTCTCAGCAGCCTGTGAGAGAAAAACATGGGATCACCTCGGGAAGGATGGATGGCAGCAGCTTGGACAATAACAGAGCAAACTGCACCCACATACCAGGAAGATATTGGAAACAGCATCCAGGATAACCAGCACAGTTTTGCTGTCCTTGGTTGTGAGGAGATTCAGCAGTGGTTCAAGAACACCAGCCTGAACGAGGTACACGATCTGGTCAATTGTCCCACCGCTCGTGTAGTTCGTCACGGCCCACACAGCTTCCTTCTGAGACTTGAAATCCCCCTGCAGAGGTGAAAAAGCAGAGTGTTTGAACACAACAGTCAGAGGAAAAGCCCCAAGATGGCAAATGTAGCTCTTGCTCACCTTCCTCAGAATGCCAATGAGGTAAGGCACCAGGCCGTGGTCCACCACCCGCTGGATCTGATCCTGGCGCCCTGCAGTGATGTTGGACATGGTCCAGGCTGCTTCCTTCTGAATGTTGTTTTTATGGTGAGAAAGGAGACTGGGAAAGACAGCAAGTGCTCCTGAGTCAATAACGAGCTGTGTCTGCTCATCAGTACCAGTGACAATGTTTCCTATGGCTCGTAGGGAAGGAGTCTGAAACGAAGAAGAAGGTAATGCTGAGGAAACTCATTCAAAACTAGATGAGATTATACCATATACAGCCATACTTGTTGCCCACCCACTCTGACCTTCCCAGTTAACAGCATGATATGCTCTGCACAAGGAGTTTCAGGTTCCTGGTTAGCACTGCACAGGCAGACATCAAGGATGCTAAGACTGCACACCTTCCAAGGCCCATCTGCAAACAACCACCCAGCACAGAGCTCAGGAAAACTACCTGCCAAGTACTAATGCAGCTTTATTACAGTGTAATTACAGTGTGCACAGAGCCCACTTGTAAACACTGTCCTTAGAAGTTGGATTTGCAAGAGCAGTTTAAAGGCAAGCTTTAAAGGCTGTTGACTGTTGTGCTGGGCTGTGAGTTAAAGCTGTGATTACACGAAGCAGTTTGATAATCACCACCACAAAGCAGTCTGCCTTGAGTGGAGCAGTCCCTAAATAAGGCAGGATCTCAGGTCTCACCTACACAAACCTAGAACAAGGATCTGTCTGATGTTTGAAGGAACCATTCACATGGACACTATTTGTTTAACCCATGATTCAAATCAAGCAACAACCTGCACGTCCAATAACTCACCATTATTGGCAGTTCACTGCACCCCAGGAGCCTCACGAGCTGTGGCACCAACCCCGTTTTCACAACAACCTCTATCCTGTCATTGGAACCGTCTGTGAGGTAGGAGATGGCCCAGCAGGTGTCTGCCAGCACCTCGGGGTCGTCGTGGTGCAGGAGGCGGACCAGGGTGGGCAGGATCTGCTGGATGGCCTCGATGGGAGGGGCGGGGTTCTTGTTGCGACACAGGTTTGAGAGGGTCCAGGTGACGTTGCGCAGGTATCCCGACTGCAGGGGCGGAGATGGAAGGTTAGGAATGGTTTAATTTGCTTTCCCTCACTCAGTCATTGCAATGTAAGTCCCACTGCACACTTACAGCCAGGGAGGAGAGGTCAGGAACAGCCAGGAGACTCAGCAGAGGCTCAATTGCACCGTATTTAATAACCAGATCTCTGTAGGCAGAGCCATCCCCTGGGAAAACAGGAAAAACAAGTGAAGACCAGAACAGAGGTGCACACAATCATTATGTGTTAGAGGATTAGTTCTTCTCCTGCTTCAGGAAGGCCAGAAGAAATAAGGAGGCAAAGGGACTGCTGCCATGGTGAAATCACATGACAGGCATGTGTTTTTCTAATCAAGGCACTGAGCTTAATTTTTTCTGTTGGAAGAAGCAACCTTTTCTATACATCTTTTCTTAGGAGTTTATAAACATGTAAATCCCTGCTTAGTTATTTGGAAAAATACCTCAGCCCTACCACTAGACCAGAGCTTCCCCCACAACATGGGACTGAAAATGCATTATGATCATCTGTTGCATGATTGACTGCTACAGGATAACGCTGATGCAATGTCAGAGTTTGACTGAAAGGTCAATATTGCAAGATATAAAAAATACTTTATAATTGAGTTTAAAGCTCCAGGGACAAGTTTTCTTAAAACTCCAATCAAACATGGCTTTCAATCAAGCTCATTTTCTCTGTATGAGGATTCACTATTTCCTGAAAGGCACAGCTGTTGGACCACAATAGCAAATACAGTATTTAACTATATTATTTATTTTGACAATGTTTTTGAGGAATGGATCCAACACTGGCAGACCAAGTAATCCCGAAAGGAGCATGAGAAACTTCACTATATAAATACTTTCCCCACCAGAAAGCATCTGTTTCAAAGCAAGGAATATTGGCCATTACGTACACTATGATGAGTCACCTGTTTCCTCCCTTCCAGTCAACATACCGAGCACAGCTTGTTGGAAAGTCACAAAAGCATTAAGTGACA